TACATGAGTAACTAAGTGATCATGCAAGCTACCTAGTAGGGTAAAAGAAAACAAAAACTGTTAACAGTGTGGCCACAAACACCCACTTTAGTTAGAATTGTTATTTATATTGTAATATTTTTGCATAAATATCCTTGCCATAAGTTTGAATTTATTTCTAACCATGTTTAAACCTGTTAATTTATGCCTTTCTTTCCTTTTTCTCTTGTCATATGTCTGTATGTAAATATTCCGTCTCATTAGCAAGCAGGTGATCGTCATGCACCTCAGTAAAGCTTTGAAAGTCATTCCTGCTTGGTTAGGGCTACAAAACCATCACTGCTAGCAGAAATGTCATTTTTTTACATGCACACCATTTGTACCTGTCGTGACCATAAGACGATGCATGTATTTAAACACAAGAATATGTTTTCTGTGCCTGCACAAAAAAAAGCAAAAAATGTTCTCATGAAACTGAAATTTGATTCTTAATAACAGATAGGATTGTAAGCACTATGGATCAGGAGGGGGACATGTATATTCCATTTTAGCTTTCCACCACAGCCCTATACGTTACCATACGTGTTAGAATGAAGCTGGCTACATGTGAGTTGCAGGAGGCCACATCCATTCATCATACCACCACTGAGACACATAGCTGATTGCAGGGTAGATGGATTCTCCTACAGCTCGTATCTGGCCGCTGCTGGGTGCCCAATAGCTGCAGTTTTGACCCCCGTACTGCACCATATATGTGGATGCTAAGTGCTTTCAGATGTCAGAGTCTTCTTACTGCACTGGATGAACAAGAATGTCTGGCCTGATAACCTTCCCTGCCCTCAGACCTCTGACCTCAACAGTGGAGCTCACTGACATGCACGTTTTCCAGAGAAGAGACCAGGAAAACCCCTTCATTTCATTTACGTGTCACCTCTTTTTCTTGGATTGTTTATTAGAAACACTTGTTAACGGTGGGTTTTGTTCATCAAGTCACACATCTATCAATATAAACCCGTGCAAGTATTGACATATTGGCACTTTGCTTTTAAAGTGTAACTTGAAATGGTTTCATTTTCAGAGTACATGTATAAGATTTGGGTTTAACAATATATTTATCAATAGAATGCATAATATTCCCTGCTGCTCCTGTTTGATTAGACTCCAGAAACCTGCTTTTCTTTGGTGAGTCTTGCTCAGCGGGCTGTGATGACTTCTTTCTCTGTGGGGAGGGCACCAGAGCCGAACCCTAACCCAGCTGACCTCTGGATGAACCCAGCAGTGGGCCTACCACACACACTGCCCCCTCTTCACCCCCTTCCTGTACAGGCAGAGCAGCACCGCTCAGATGTTCCGGCCCCGGACCCGGACGCGGCCCTCTGGGCCAGCAGAGGCTCTAACACGTGGAGGTGATGACTGAGTCTGCCACCCAGGCTACAGGTCACACAGCCAGCGCCCGGCTGAGCAGAGAGGCTGATAAAGACGGGCCGGAGGACGAGTGTGTGTAGACGCTGAGAAAGCCCAGATGATTTCCAAAGGTTAAAAGGCTGGTGAACCCCCCCCCGGAGTCCTGAGGCATTCCACCGGGTTGTTTCGTGCCTGTGGGTTTGGAAGCTCATTAATGTGGGAGGCCTTATTGCCTCTGAAATACAAAAGGTTTTCAGATATTCTTTAACCTGTTAGTCAAAGTGATTCACAAATCCAGACAACTTCCCATCCCAGCCGGTCATCCTGTGGAAGCCATGCAGCCAGCAGGCGAGGGCCTGGGGGAGCTGCTCTCACCTGTCCAGTTTGTGGGAAAGGGAAAATAAACGTGAAAGGAACAGGGATATGATATGGTGGATCTATTTATTGACCGGATGTTCTATCTTTGCAAATGCCCCCTTCAAAAGTTAAGCAAACCTGAAGAAAAAACATGTATTATATTTTGAAAAAGACTCATGCTTCACTTTATAATGCTCAACCAATCATGTCATTCACTCAATTTAAACAGTGAAATTCAGTTCTGAGTTGAAAAGCAAAGATTTCTTTCCAAGGCAAAGTTTCTACTAAAACAAAACGATTGTGTACAGACTGTGTAAATTTCAATCATTTAAAGTAACTGTTTTTAATTCAATTTTATTCTAGTTCCTTATATGGCATAATGTTACCACTAACTTTCAAAAGAGCCTGAATATATGGAACAGTTCACAACTCAGCGAGCCTTTTTTTATTTTCTTAATGAAAATGAATTACAATGTGACCTTTGACCTCTGAGGGAGTTGTATAGGGTGGGTGTTATGTATGGAATCCAGACAGGACCTGCACAGTGCTTTAGAAAGGTCTTTACTTCCCTTTTGCTTGTGATTTTTCAGCATGGTGATAGCAGTTGGGTGCTAAAAGAAGGTGGGTAGGTGTTTATTTATGGATGAATCCAAACTCTGGATGGTTAGGGAAAACACATGCTGGGATTATGTCAGTATTTCAGTCATGTCTAATGTCCATTACCTGACGATAAAAGTCTTGTCAAAGGTGAGAATTAGAAAAACACTTCTTGTGTTGCACGTTTTCCCCATCTTTTCCTCCACTGCATTACCCAGTGTTTCCCAAGTCTTCCTGGTTTCCCTGCTCCAGCACACCGGGTTCAGGGGGGGGCGTATGTGGGCAGAAAACCTGCATTAGGTTGTTCAAAGCATCATGAAAGTCTGGGATTATCGTAGATTGCATCCCTTTTTAATCCTTACATGTGTAAAACAAAAGTATCACGTGTTTCTTTTCTCTTTGTTGTAGATCAAAGATGACAATTCCCATTCTGTTATTACAGCAAGTTGCTGTGGAACTCCAAGAGACATAGAGGGATAAAAGGATTTGAACAAATCAAAACTTCTAATTATTTTGTTCTTTTCCAGGAGATGGTAATTATAATTTGTAAGAACAAGAAAATGGCATCTTACCCTCTCCATTGACCCTCTTTTGGGGGAAAATAGGGGTGGTTAGGGGTTTTATTTTATGCTTTTAATCATTTTACTTTATTAAACCTTTTTCTGACCTGTAAAAACATTAACATAGAGGAGCAAAATGTTGCCACAGACTTGGTTCAAAACTGTGGAATGTAATCATTTAAACAGAGACAAAGGAAGGTGTTTGTTCCAGTGCAATCACAGGTCATTTATTTGAGGTAGCTTAAGACAAAACAACAGGAACATGACTGGAAAAGTCTTTAAGGCGGCAGAACTAATACAACTCAGTCTGCTCTCATTAAAAAACAACTTATCATTCAAGAAAATATAGCACATCATTTGCAGCTCACATGGCAGGCAGGGAACAGTGGAAAGTCTGGAGAGCAGTTTTCTCCAAGATTTCATAGTTTTTTATCCTTGATTCCGAGGAGTCCTGCTCATGAGTCATTTTAAAAGTCAGAAAGAGATCAAATTCTGTTTTTCTGACTTTTTTTTTCTCTATCAACTGTAGTGCAAAGGTCACAGTCCGAACTGTGGGAGGAAACCTACCAAGAACAGCACTTAAAATGTCCCAAACAGAAAAGAAACAGGATATGTACTCTCTCAAAGTAGAAGAAAACAGCTTCAATGATGGTCTGATTTTTTCCATCATAAGCGTTCTGTTTTCCAAATAGAAAATCAATCTGTCTCCAAATATCTTAAATGTGAGTCACAGCTTCTGACATCCCAAACCACGGATGCACTCAGATCATCAATCTCAAAAGTCGGTCCCATTTTATTGTTCTTCATTCTGAGAGGAATTAAGTTCAAGTGAGTCACTGGAACAATTAATTCCACTCTCATCACATTCCACTCTTATCACTGTAGAAACTATTGGATTAACTATGCAAACATATCAATCAAGTGTTTTATTGACAATATATCCTTTTTTTACTTGCTCTACGCAGTTCAGGGTCTGGGTGGGCCTGTATCCAGCTGTTGTTGGGTGACCTGGACAAGGACCTGGACAGGGACCGGGACAGGGACCCGGACAGGGACCCACACAGGGACAGAGACAGGGACCTGGACAGGGACCCGGACAGGGACAGGTACCCGGACAGGGACCCAAACAGGGACCCACACAGGGACAGAGACAGGGACCTGGACAGGGACCTGGTTCATTAGCAAACAGGAATTCAGTCCTTCATTCAGTTTGGAAATAACCAAAATCGGCAAGCATGTTTTTGGAGCGGACAGAATCTGGAGAGAACATGTCTGTGCACAGGAGGGACATGCAGTCTCCACACAGAAACCCTCAGCTGAGTCTGGACCGGTGACTTTCTTGTCGATAGCTTAACGAGAACAGCATGAATACATTCAGTCAAATGATCCCAATCTCATTAAAACCTTCATTAAAACCATCAAACTGATACATCACATAAATACACCTTCTAGTCCTCATCATCCTTACACCTTCTCCTACCAGAGGCTGGATCAGAGCCATTTGTTGCTAATGTTTCAAACTGAACAATGCAGGCAGAGCGGAGCATATTCGGATTTCACAAAAAGATAGTATTCTTTTGAATTTAAAATATGGATGTCAATTATTTCAGGCCAAATGCTGAAAGGGAAAACGCTTGACAACTGTGTACTTTTCAGGTAAACAAATGACAGAAAATCTATCAGCTCAGTTGTGATTCTACCCCCCCCCCCCCCACCCCCACCCCATCTACATTACCATATCTACTCAGATTTGAGAAAAATATCGTTTCTAACTTTTAATATTAAAACACATTTATCACACATATCAATGTAATTACCATCTAAAATCCATGAGACGTAACTATAAATTAAAAACCCTGCTGAAAGTATTCTGAAGTGTTTCCTTCTTCCATAAATAGACCAAACTGGGTTCAGATCAGATTTCGGCAGAAATCCGTCCGGGGATGCAGTTAGCAGCAAATTCCGTGTCCAGACAAAGAACGGGACCGGGGGGGGGGGGGGGGCAGAACCCGGAGGGTCCGGCTGGTGTCCGTGCTGAGGCCAGCAGAGCTCTGTCCTGAGTGGGTTCCCACGGAACCACAGCCACTCCCGACGCACGGGGGACTACGTCTCCGAGCTCGGGGACGCGCCCGGAGACGTGGACAAGGACGAGTGGTCAGTGTCCTCCATGTCCTTGGTGAAGCCACTCCCGAGGTCAGAGCAGGACGAGCGCGCGTGAGCGGGGGTGCCCTCCCGCTCGCGCCGCTTCTGCTTCATCCGCCTGTTCTGGAACCAGATTTTCACCTGCGTCTCATTGAGTTCGAGCGTGGCGGCGATCTCCACGCGCCGCGCCCTGGTCAGGTACTTACTGAAGTGGAACTCCTTCTCCAGCTCCGTCAGCTGCCGCGTGCTGAAGTTGGTGCGGATGGCGTTGTTGTGCGCGCCCGACAGGCCGAAATCTGAGATGTTGACTGAGTGGAGGAAAACAGACAAAAAGGGATGTATTTTTACATCTATTTAACTTCTTGAAATTGGATTAGATCACGTTAAATCCGCTTCTATGTGGTTCACAGAGCAGTAAGCCCCGTCACCAACAATGAACCAAAATGATCAGATGAGTTGTTTCTGCAGGCCAGAAACGGCCTGATCCCTCTGCCTGAATCCCCCTCTTTCTGGTTGTTAGGATTCCTGCTCATCGTGGCTGTCTGTTTTCTACCCTGTAGGTTATGAATAACACAGGTCTGGCCAACTTTAAAAGACAGGAGCTGTAGATTTATACAGATTTATAGAAGATGTGGCCCGACCCGGACTCTTTCTGCTCTCAGTCCCCATTTATTTATTTATTTATTTATTTATTTATTTATTTATTTATTTATTTATTTATTTATTTATTTATTTATTTATTTATTTATTTATCTGTTTGTTTGATTTTTATTTATTTATTTATTTATTATTAAACTCTGCCGACTGTGTTATTGCGTTTCAGTGAGATTAAGAAAATATATCAAATAACATCCCCTTTTATGGCCATTAACAAATAGATAAACAAATGGAAAATACATTTTCATATTAATTGTTGGAGATGGTATTTAGGGTACTTATAAAATAAAAATAATAAAATAAAACAAATATCGGTGTTTGGAGCTCCAGTTTTATGTAGCCTATATCTCCAAATGCTCCACCACAACAGGCCCACTTCTAGATGAATGATGTGCTTGTTGGAAAAAAATATAAAAAATAGACTGATGGTGTGTTGAAAATATAAAGACCTGGTTTTTCTTTTGTTTGTCGGCCAAATGCTCATTTCCTGAGCAGATTTGCATGTGTGCACGTCAGTGTTTTAACAAACGGCTTAAACCCGTTTGAACAAAACCTTTTGTTATCCGGTGATCTGATCCGGGCCATACAGGAACAATCACAGTGGCCTTCTTCTCACGCCTCTAAAAACACGCAGTTCTCCCAATGTAACTGAGCCAAACCTGGAGTTTTTTCACTGTGACGTGGGGTCCTCAAACAGGCCTGCCCCCCCACACCTGACCCTAAAACTGCTCACCTGTCTTCGGCGGGTTCCTCTTCACCTTCATCCAGTCGAAGGTCTGCCCCTGCCCGGCCTGCGGGCCGTCCTCCTCCGCCCCCCCCCGGTCCTGGTTTAGCGGCAGCTCCCCGTAGCCCCCTCCCTGATTCAGGCCCAGGTACTTGACTGAGTCCAGGCCCCCGCCGACCTGCTGCGGGTAGTGGGGGCAGCCGAAGGCGGCCTGCGGGCCGCAGCAGGCCCCGGCCAGCGCGCCGTAGCCGGGGCCGAAAGCCGGGCCCGAGCCGTGGAAGCCCGGCTGGTGGTAGTAGGTGGTGGCCACGGACTCCTCCATGAAGTACTGGGGGGGGCCCGTCGAAGGAGCGTACTCCAGGTTTGTGGCGCAGGCCTGGCCCGCGTAGGCGCCGGAGTAGGGGGCCAGCACCCCGGTCTGGAGGCCCTGGGTCTGCGGCAGGGCGGAGTGGTGCTGGTAGTCCGTGTGCGTGTGCGTGTGCGTGTGCTGGTACTGCTGCTCAGGGGGATGCAGCAGGCCCGCTCCCGGGGACTCGTGCACCCCCCCGCTCTCCTCTCCGGTGAGCCCGTAAATCCTGCCGTCCGCCGCGTACCCGCCGCCGTCCCCGCCGGTGCTGCCCCCCGAGGAGCCGCCCAGAGCCGGGTTCAGGGCCCCGGGGGCCCCGGGGGCCGCGGAGAAGGCGTGGTGCTGGTCCAGCGGGAGGTGGTGGAGGCTGTGAGGCTGGTATCCGGGTTTAGGGGCGGAATGAGCACCGCTCCCAGCTCGATTGAAAACAGAATATTCCACAAACGAGTTCATTTTGTCCACGCAGACCCGAGGCGCGACAGAGATGAACAAAGATTCAAATGATTTGACAGCTCCAACAAGAATCCCAGAGAGAAGGCGGACGAATAAAGGCCTGAAAAAGCCTTTACATAGGTTGGATTCAGAAATGATGTCAGCAGAAGACACCGTGCAGACAGATCAAAAATAGTAAAAGCGAAAGAAAAAACAAAAGTAAAAACCAAAACAAAGCAGAAGCTAGAAAGGCTGTAGGCCAAACAGTTTCATGTAGGAGAAAAAGTTAAAAAAAAGTGTCAGATGTGATTACAGCGGAAGCTGGAAGCCGCATGAGCACATGAGTGATGTCCTGGTGATTCATGAGATGCTGGAGCGTCTGTTGGTGAGCAGAGGGCCTCCCTCCGCCGCCAGGAGCCCAACCTGTGGGTTCCGAACAGAGAAAACCACGCGAGAGGACGCACGGGAACAGAGCCTCTTTTCACCTGCGCGTTCACCCGGTATTCCTCTGCTCGGTGCTTTTCTCCTCTTTTCGTGCTTTCTCCAACTCTCTCTGGCCTCCGAGTCACTTCTTTCCCATTCTCTCCTTCATCCAGCCTACCTCTGGCGCAGGTCACGTGGCCTGTCGCCTATGGCGACCACGCCAGAAGTTGTCAGCTGGTCACGGGATCGAGAAAAAACGCGTTTGTGTGTGTCCGTGTGTGTGTGTGTGTGTGTTTGTATGTACAGGAGGAGGGGAAGAGTTTCTTTTCTGTTCAGGAGTGGAGTTGCGCGCACGTTGGTTCTGGCGCACGCGCCTCATCCATCACTCGCCGTGACATTAGCACGACAAAGAGACTTCAATCAAACCGGCCCATCAATCTGATATCAGCACGGATCTGTCAGAGCAGAGCGAGAGTCTTAGAATAAAAGAGGGGCTGGGAGCCGGTCTGCGGCCCCAGCTCTGCCTCCAACAAAGTCTCTCCACAGAACACTCCCAAACCAAATCAAATGTGGCCAAAAAGGCCTTCAAAATCCCAACAGAATCAATACAAGTTTCTTCAGAGCATCTGTTGTACAGCTGATTCACTACACACTGCAACATGGAGATGTTGCCCCATTTAGGGAGACTGTATACAAAATGTGTCCAGATTAAAAGATTCTTTAGGTGGATTTTCAGCATTTTGTTCTAAATTCACATCAGTTTGGCCTATGTGATAATGATTCAATTCAATTCAATTTTATTTATATAGCACCACATCACAACACACCAGCGCCGGGCTTATTATATTGATAATAATATCCAATGGGGATTTCTGATGGGTTGGGAAAAATAATCTTCAATTAAGTTAAAATAAATAAGTATAATATCTCAAAAAGGCCAAAAGCTTCTTTGCTGCTGAGGCCTGAAGAAAAACTCTGGCCAGAGGCCCACTGAAGGCTGACCTGGGATCTGGGGTAGGGACAGAAACACTGACATCTCTACTTGCTTTCTAATTAGGTGTAGAGTTTCAATATGAGAATGTACAGTTGGCTGGAGGCTACAGCAGGAAGAGTGTCACGTTTGTGATGGATGTGGACAACACGGGTCAGGAATGAAGCGTCCATCAGCCGTAGTCATTTCAAATAAACAGACTGAACCTTTAAAGAAAAGACTGTGTCCTTTATTCTAACATGTTGCCTGGGGTTGTTTAACATACACCACATGGATTCTTCTGGTTCTGTCCATTCAGAGTAACATTTTCAGCTCTTTCCTCCACCGTGTACTGTGTGTGCAGCTTCCCCTCTCCTCAGCCCTCCTGTACCCACTCATAACTGCTTTACAGATTATTGATTTGCCTTTATCTTTTCTTTGCACACTCCCCTGCAGGATGGTTGATTTTTCCACGGCTTCAAAGGTCTCCGTTGGTCAGACGGGCCTCTCACAGGGGAAGGGAGGGAGTTTGCTTTTCAACAATTGGTTTGGGCAGGCATAGATTTCTGATGGACAAATGTAGGCTCCACCGGAGAGAGTGTGCACTAATCGAATGAGGGAACTAATCTGTTACAGCAATGAAGTTAAGCTGGACAGGATGCCTTCTGGTTAGCTGAACTCTGCCAATCCGGCAGGACAGGAAGCCGGACCACAACACAATCCACTGTCCGAGTGTGTGTGAAGCACTGGTCAGCAGCTTTGCTCGTGCTGAGCTTTAAGGACAGCACCTTTTATTCTGGAAACATGTCATCTGTCCACACTAATCCTCTTTTATTTCTATGTTTTGTTAATACTTGTTCAAGTAAAACAAAACCAAAATAAATAAAAGAATTGCCCTTTAGTCGTGTTATTCCCGTTCTGGGCCCCTTAGAACCCCCTGGTCATTAATTTCCCCTTCCGGGGACTCCCTGAAGGGCCTGACAGCAAACGCACTGATGCTGTGGCACCAGCACAAAATGAGGACAAGTGTGGTGGGCGAGCGACAAGGAGGGAGGTTAATTATCAGCGAGGACTGAAAAGGGAGCGAGGCAGCAGCAGTTGTAGGAAGTCTGCTGGAACAACCAGATGAAATAACACCCACATATCTGTCTGAGCTGTCCACAGACAACAGAGCCAGGGGCCGGGCCTCCCTCTCAGATCAGGTACTCCTCACTCTGCCTGTGTCCGTCTGACCCCGTTTTTATTTCTGTTTAATGCATATTGCTACCAAGATGTGGGACACTTTTAAAGAGACCTCTGAATTCTCAGAATAAAGGTTTTATGAAGCCTGGTTTTCATCCTGCAGATAAATAAGAGAAGAAGACTAAAATACTGCTGAAAGAGCTGCATCCATTATACCATCTTATAATTTTCCTTTGGGATTAACAGGCACTTTGATTATTGTCCATTGCTGCTCTGTGTACTTCTGTAGGATATGTTTTTTTTGTTTTTTTGTTCTAAGACGGATGTCATATGACTCCAGAACCAGGAGACCACGCTCCACTATTCCTGGACAAGTGTAGGATATGTGTCCAGGCTTCTGAAAATCATGAAAGGTGATATTGGAGGGAAAGGGAAGCAGAGGCAGCAACAGAGTGGAAAAGAGAGGAGGAGGCTCACAGAGATGCATTATCTCAGAAACCTGATCCTTTAATGCAGACCCTCAGCAGCTTTTATTAATCATCATCAAAAACATTTACCCACATTTCAGCTGAACTTTAAGAGAAACTGTCCGCAGTCTATTCTACTCCATTTGAATTTTGACGTAAACTGTTGTATTAAATTAACTAAATCTGCTGTTCCTTGTCAAAACAGATAGCACATTTTCAATAAGCAGCTGATTTTCCTCTTTACTAACAAACCAAACGAAGACCACTTTGGACAGAGGCATGAAAATAAGGCATTTTAATAAACTAATCATTATGTCGGTCTAACATAAAGCAGCTTTTAAATGCTCAACAATCTGGTTATTGATTGAAGATCCCTTAATGGCCTTCATGTTTCCACGTCCATCTCTTTGCATCTCCCTGTAAAAACAGGACATGTACATAAATGCACTGGAATCCTAAGCAGCGCTGCTCTCATTGGCATGTTTCTGATTATTTTTTCTGATGGCTAAATGGATCCAAATTTGTGATTACATAAGTCAGTAGGGGCCCCTTTCAACCTGTAATCACTAAAGCATTTCCAGACACTCTGCTCTAATAAAAGCCCACTTTTATAACTTCAGCCCAATCGGACCAAACTGAAGTCAGTTAAAGACAACTACAGCTAATTTAACTTTAGATGCTCTGTGGAAATAATCCTGAAATACATGTACATCAAAGCTGTTGGAGGACAAATTAAACGCTGAAGGAATGAAAATGTATTTGCATCAATAAAGATTTAAAAAAATAGTCAAATTCAAGAAAATAACTCTGGGTTAAGAAGAACTTTGTCAATAAACCCTTCCATGCATAGCAGCCTCTACAGTGAACCGCCATTTTAAGCCATTTTCTGTTGTATGTGTGGGGTTTTATGGCTTAAGTGAGCAGAGACCACTGTGGTGGACACTGTAGGTCATGCAATAAAATAAAAAATATCCAGAGGAATCAGGTGTGGGGATGCTCCCAGTCACTGATATGCATTGCAAACACCACATTTGAGCTGAAGGTGTAATGTATTGGATGCATAAGTGCCTCTACTGGAACTTCTGGCAGTCTGTGTCAGCAGAGGCTAACAGTGAGGGTCAGCCCGAGGAAGGAGGCCTTCTCCAGACCATCGCTGTTAGCGAATACACAACTGGAAATGTAACATGAAACTGACTGCATTTTTAATGCCACAGACAAGTGGAATTGGTTTTCTTCAGCATTACAGTGGAAGTCAAAGACTTACAAACAGAACAGAGAATATTCCACTATGTTAGAGCACTTCAAAACCAGCCTGAACCACAGAGCGTTTCTCTGCATTTGGAAAGCCCAAAAAAGTTGGTGCAGCTCATCTCTGCAGCCTCTTTGACTGGTCTTACAGACGGATTCAGCAGAGTGGCTCATCGTGGCACATTTAGAGTCAAGAAGAGAGCAGCTCCTCTAACTCTGCGTATGTAGAGGTTATTGGGATGTTATATTTGGATTTTGTTAGAGAGGACTTGGAAAAGAACGTTGCGTTGCCAACATTGTGAAAAAGGACGTTGCCATGGTTACCGTATCTATATATGTATAGGTGTGTTGTACTAATTTATTCTGCTTGTTTTTATTTTTCATTGCGGCCAATCTTTTCGTCCAGTTTTTTCATCTCTGTTTCAAATTCATGGCAGCATCAGAGAACCTTTTAGAACGTGTCAGAGGCCGTAATGGAACATCACCAGTGTGTGTCAGAGGGCAGGCTTTCCTTTTGGATGATAAAAACACAGTTCACATATTTCTAAGTGGGTGATCTATCATATTATTGCCCCCCAAACACACACACACACACACATGCATACGCAAAAAGGTGGAAACCCAAACACTGTTGGGGAGGCTGATGCCAGAGATAAGCTCCAGTCCCTGTTCTGCAGCATGGCAGCAAACTGACAGGCTCTGACAAGCAGGAAACAGCTTATTTGTAGGCACACACACACTCTCACACACACACACGCTCCCAAATGCATTTTAGCACACACCTGCTGAGATATGTCTCCCTGCATGGAGATTCAGTCCCCTGTAATCTCTCTGTTTACAAGACACTCAGATGAATGGCTGCAGGAGCTGCAGACAGCCAGAGAGAGGGGAGCTGGGAGGAAGAGAGCTGCTGTGTCCCAGTTCACACGAACACATCCAGCTGACGGATCACCTATTGGGGGGCTGGGATAGTGTTTGTGTTGGAGGTGAACAGATCCCATCCTGAGGACTGTTTACACTGAAAAAGATCCCATCGTTTTGTCTTTATTCCATCATGCGGAACTAATCAACCAAGGACATCTGCTTTTCTTTTCTTTTCTATTAACATATCGAAAACTATTTTAAAACCACTTTGAGCGTTCTTGTACAGGAAATGTGCTATACAAATAAACTCCCTTGCCCTAGTTTAGCCTCCCCCAGCTGACATCACAGCGGACTGAATGACAGGATAGCTGGGAAACAGCATGGTACTTTAATATCATTTTGTACCACTAGATGGGACCTGAGTCCCTGTTGGGTCTGTTTTTTCCACCAGAGAAGAAGAAGAAGAGAAAGTCATTAGTCCACTGTGCTCTCATGAATACACTGGTCCAAGCAGAGCATGGAGAGGACTGGGATTTAAGGAAAATCCCAGTAATTCAAAATACTGCAGGAGCTATTTCTGGTTAGTCTGTTACAGTAGATCTGAATACTGACAACTCCAACCCTGCCACTCAAAATAGATAGATGGCATACATAATCTGGATGATAAAAATACAATTATTATATATTCTATCTGGATTCATGATCTGAATCAACATAGAAGGTGCTTCTTGTTGAAAGTGAGATTTTCTCTCCACAGTGGTGGATTGAATCAAAGTGAGGATTACATGTGATTACATCTGTATCTGTGATCTGCAATATGTGTGTGTGTGTGTGTGTGTGTGTGTGTGTGTGTGTGTGTGTATGGGAGCTTCATTTGTCTTAGGAGAACATTTCTTTGTCATTGACATTTGCATTTGTCAGGACATGAGTAGAGAGAATTATCAATTAAATATTTCTTAAACTAAAATATTATATAAAGCGGTGCATATTTATTTAGTGCAGGTCCCAAACCTTATTGCAAATGCATCAGTTTGTCCGTTATGCACGCTTTGTAAAAACATTTGATTCATTTTCCAGGTAGTATTTTCCTATTTTTTCTAAAATGTGCTGCTCAAAGCTTTTTCCCCTTTTAAATATATAGTTGCAATAAGGTTCATTCTAATAACAATGATAGTTGCCTTGTTTAGAGACAACTATTGTGTATTTTCAGCCGTTTATTCCCACACAGCCCTGGTAGTGTGGGCCGGCCACCCTGTAATGGCTGCCACTGCTCATTGTTCACATCCTCTTTTGTCTCCGGCGCCATTTTGACTCCAGAGGAGGAGGAGCAGCTGCTCAGCCTCATATCCACAGACGCTAATGGCTGCGAGCTGCAGCCGTGCTAACCGTGGCTGTGGAGGAAAAGAAAGCTCCCAGCCTGCAGAGCTACAGCCCCAGCCCTGGAAAAAAGAGCTCTGGCACGAAAGGCCCCAGACAGGCAGAGGACAGAAACCCCTGAGTGAGGGCCGGGGCAGGCCCTGCCTCCAGAGGCTGTTACCAGCAGCCCTAATGACACCAAACACACTTCATAATATCGGGAGAAATTCATAATTGCCCCCAAAATATCATTTGAAAAAATTAGAGCCCAGCGTTTCATCACACTAAATTAATCTTTGTGTCAGAATTTAGGAAAATATCATTTTGAATAGAAAGCCGTGGAATTTAATTTAAATACAAAATTGACTACAACCAAAATTAAATTAATTACGGGACATTACAGGCTGCGATAATAAAATGGGATGTATAGAATATAGCCTATTATGTGTCATCCATCGTTTATAAAATCAGAAAAAATATAATACACTATAAATTTGCTTTAGCAAAAAATTTAAACTAGATTATGTTGTAAAATACGCAAATATGCATATAAAAATATATAAATTCAAATTACACTTCATATTTAAATACACATATAAAATAAATTATGCACTACGTTGGAGATGGTCGTATTTTTACTTTTTATTAGTATTATCCGGCTATGAAAATATATGTACAATAAATAATTTGAATTTGTACTATTAAAGAATCTCAATAAATAAACTAAAGTCTAAATTCGGGTCATCAGTAGGGTTTTTCCTTGTTTCGCAGAGAGAAATAGCGTTCTTTCTTCGTCGTAGTTTGTCTGAAAGCAGTCCAGCTCTGCTCCCAGACTTTGTGACCAGTTCCTGAGAAGTTAAAAATTCACGAAGCTGCACCAGAACAGAGGAAACACACCCGCACACTGACGGAAATCGCTCCACTTGTTTTTACCAAAAATGATCCAAAACCTTCAAAGCTAATAAATAACCCTATTTTAAATTTGCACAAGGCAAAAGAAGAAAAAAATTTTGGCTGAGAAAAAGGACACAGCTCGCCTTTGACGTCCGAAACTAAGATGCTATAAAATTAAAAACATTCGCGTGTCTATTCAACTATATTACAATCTCAAAGTAAAACCAGCGTGAGGGGAAATGATCTCTAAAAACCAACATATGCTTTCATTTCATGAATGTTTCAGGAATGTTGCCGAGAAGCTTTTCCTAGCAGCCGGCTCTTCGCCGTTGTGTCCATTTCTTCCTCTTTTCTCCGTGCTCCTTATTTCCGCCTCAGAAGTTGAGATTCTGCAGGTCTATCGTGCACAGTGTGCTTGTGAACAGGTCGAAGTCCTCCTCGGAGAAGTCCACCGGGCTGTCCAGGGAGCTCTGCAGGCTGGGGGAAAGGCATGCGTCCTCCGGGAAGAAGCTAAGGTCCGGCAGGGCCGCGGCGGGGGGGGCCGCGGCGGGGGGGGGGCTCGGCCGGGGCCGCGGGCACGGCCTCTCCGAGCCGCAGCAGGTCGGTGTGGTCGGTGGAGTTGGTGGGGGTGAAGGCCGGCGGGGAGCTGCGCGCCGTGGCGGGGTCGGGGGAGGCGGCGGTCCTGGGGGGCGCGCGGCCCCGGGGCGCCTCGTGCGCACTGTCCCCGCTCTCATCAGCATACGCCCGGTCCCCGCCGCTCTGACCGTCCTCTCCCGTGAGGCCCCCGGTCCCAGAGGTTTCCAGAGGCTGAGCGGGGTGAGGAGATGGTACGTCGGTGCCCTCGAAGCCGCCGGACGGCGGGCTGCCCCCCCCGCCGTCCCGGTGGTGCGTGGTCTGCCGCTTATGCTTCATCCGCCGGTTCTGGAACCAAACTTTGACCTGCCGCTCCGTTAGATCCAAAAGGGCGGCGATCTCAACCCTTCTGGGCCGACAGAGGTACTTGTTGAAGTGGAATTCCTTCTCCAGCTCCAGCAGTTGGGTGTTTGTGTAGGCGGTGCGCAGCCGGCGGGACCCGGCTCCCCCAGCGTCCAGTCCCGCCTGGCCCGGGTCTGAGGGGGGGGGGAGAAGGACATCAGAACATCAGAGACAAGCCTGGACCTGATACATCTTTTACTCTTAGAAATTCAGTTGGACTATTAAAATCCGCATGGTTTTAATCACATGTACGAAATAAGATGCATCGATCCGAAATCCATTCGCTTTATCTGGTCAGGATGAAACCGTAAAACACAAAAGGTCTCATGGAAAACGATTAGCTGCCCGAGCCAGAATGAATGTAGACGTTAAGAAACAAAGAAATAAAGAAAGAAAGAACGAACGAAAGAAAGCAAGAGGGAAAGAAAGAAAGAAAGAAATTAAGAAAGAAAGAAAGAAAGAAAGAGAGAAAGAGAGAAATTAAGAAAGAAAGAAAGAAAGAAAGAAAAAGAGAAAGCCAGCAGCCTCCGCTGGCCGCGGCTGGGGGCAGAAGGCTTTCTGTGGCGCAGTGAGCCTCTCCACGATGCAGCTTGTGTTCTGAGAAATGCAAAGAAAGCAATCTGCACACATCAGAGCACAGAGAGGAAATATGAACAGACACGTCGCAGTATTGATACGAGAGGAGCGCGAGGGCTCCAAGCCCGAGAATGAGATCAGGGAATTTACAGGAGGTTTTTCAAGTGATAACCAAACGACATGGTCATGGAGCCAAACAAAAATCATACAACGGATAGAAACTTTCGAAATAAATATTCATTTAAGTTTAATGTAGGTCAGCTGCAGAGGCAGAAATGAGCTGAAGCCCAGAAACGCGTGTGAGCGCGTTCCCTGCCTGGCTATAGATTATGGGGCTCCCCCCACCCCGCCATACTTTGTCATTTGCTTTGGCGTGCCATTATTTTTCCCATCTCCATCCAATATGGCGTCCGTTTGAGTTGTGCTGTGATTTATACACTGCCCTAATCTGAACGCACAGTATCCAATCAGCAGAATGAGAACTATAGGCAGAATTACCTGCAGAATTAATGAAACCTCTGCTGAATCTCAGCGTTTCGGAGACGGCGTGCTAGGTCATTAAATGGACAGTTTTCTGTGAGGGCTGAGCAGGGCTGAGATCAGGATTCTGCCCGTGCGGAGGTTCGGTCGAACCCTTCAGATAAAACCTCCACAAAGCACTGCAGCATAATGCAGTCATCTGGCAGCATCACAGCACTGTACAATAGCAGCTCACGCGCGCGCGCATACGCGTGCATACCGAAAGGGACATGGCTGTAATCCATGCAGGCTGTAAAACAAGTGGCAGCTTTTGTGATGGCGGAGCCAGAACCCTTCTCCAGGCGTCCCTAACGGCCCCTGGTTCTGGTTCTGGTTCCGGTTCTGGTTGTGGTCTCCGCGGCCCGGCTCATACCGACCTGTGGGGGACTCGATGCCCGCTGACGCGTACCCGGAGGCGGTGGGAGAGGGGAAGGACGCGGCGGGGGTGCTGAGGGATCCGCCGCTGGTCGAGCCGCCCCCGGGCTTGGAGCACTTTTTGGAGGATTTCTTCTCCTTCATCCAGGGGAACTCGTGGGCCGGGGGGGGCGGCGGGGGCCGGGGCCTGGCCGGCCGGGCAGCGCGCCTGCGGGGCGGCGTGGTGGCCGGTGTGGTGGCCGGTGTGGGGGCCGGTGTGGGGGCCGGTGTGGGGGCCGGTGTGGGGGCCGGTGTGGGGGCCATTGGCGGCAGAGCTTCTCCGGGGCTGCTGGCTCGCAGCGGCTGCTGGTTTCGGCTGGCTGGCTGTGCACGGGCTGAGGCTGGGGATGGTGTGCTCGAAGGGAGGCGGAATTACTGTCGACTCCTTGATTGATGAAGTTTGAAATGACTCCAGGACGGCGGGGAAAGATGTCAGGCACTCTGCGAGGGACGGCTGGCTGTTTATAAACCCGATCTCCCTTTCAAATTCAAAATTCATAGCTTCCTCAAACCGGTTTCACCCTCAAACGGCGAGACCCCCGAACAATCCCTTCCCCAAAATAAAAAAAATAAAAAAAAACACATACACGCACGCTCGCTCGCATATGCACGCGCGCACCCGACACAATATGGCTCTCTGGAAAATAACAGCATAAATAAATAAATAAGGCGCAGCAGCGCGCGATCTCCCGGCTGCTATGGCTAATGCGGTGGCTATATCATAATTGTGTATATTGGTTATAATACAGGCGTATGGGGACCCGGCGAGGCTAAGCTGGAGAACTATGGGGTGAAACTGCAGCCAATTCCTGGTCACGTGACGCGCGGCGTCCAATAGCAGCCGCGGGCCCGGTGGCTGACATGTCTGTGGGAAGATGTTTGATTTTTTCCTCCGAATGCGTTGGCAGAGAGGGGCTCTGCGGCTCCGCTATTGTTCCCCCTGACGGGGGGTAAGGTTCTGGGGGAGAAAAAGGGAGAAGGCGCCCGATCACCATGTGCGCCGAGTGGGTGTCAGGTCAGCGCATCCCGGCCGCTGACACGCACGAACAATAGAGCACTGACCGTTTTTTTTTCCAGCGTTCTGTGTGATGTAATGGCGGTTTACGTCGGGTGGACGGAGGTAGCCAGCACCGTGCACAATATATCTCCTCCGAATTTTTTTTTTTTACAGCACTCATTAATCTTAGCTATGTGACAAAAGGCAGAAAATCCCCACCTTAAAGACAGGAAACCGGGAGAGGGTTTAGGAGAGGATGAGGGAGGCTTCATATAGTGCAGACGGAGCCGTTTGAGCAGAATCTGAGAAAGGGGAGCCTTTTTATCTGTAAGTGTTCATTTCTGTACCTATAGCCGCCTCTCCGTGCGTTTACGGTGAGAATATGTGCGCGTTGGCTGGTCTGTGTGAGTGTCTGGATAGGATCTTAGAGCCAGCCGTTTCTCACGGCCTATAAAAACAACTCCCCATGCCAGGCGCGGAGCTGTGCTCGTTTGGATGCGTGTCTGTTAGGAATGCGCGTGAAGAGTTCAGCGCCGGGTCGCTCCGGTAGCGGGGCACGGGCCCGGGAGCGCGCTCCTCCCGGACACACCAGCGCGCGCGCACGCACGCACGCACGGGCCATCACAACAGCCAGCGAGGGGGCAACGTAGGTTTAAAAGGGAGCCGGGAGTTGTGAGTTGAACAGAGGATATTTTAGGGAGGGCCGGAGGAGCCCCTGTTGGACAAAAAAACCGAGAAGTGCGGTGATCAATCTTTCTCTCCTTCAGAGAGCCTGACAGCAGCCCCCCTCTCTTCCTGAATTACCAGAAAACTTCCAGTCCCTTCTGCATTCTCCGCCTCTAGGCCCAAGGCTGGATCTCTCTTTATTTATCATCTTCCTGCAGCTCTGTGTGCCGACTGCCCGTAAAGCTTAGCGCAGATCGATCCACGAGAGGAAAGGAGAGAAGAGGAGAGCAGGTTCTGGTTCCCATGTCGTCTGCCCTCACCCCCAAGAAAACGCACAAACGCAGAAATGTGCGTGGGAGTGCGGCCATTGAGGGCGGCAGAAGGGCGCAGGCAGTGAGTAGGCAGGGCCCGCACAGCGAGCTCAAACTGGCGCAAAGATGGCCCCACAGCGGCGCACATCACTAAAAAAGAAATACTGAAAAATACAGCTCATTTTGATCTGTTCTAATCTTTTCTTATTTTTTTTCTCACCGGAACTAAGCGTTTATATACAGAACTCGATTTTTTTGTTATCTCCCAGGTCGAGACATGGATAGTGTTCAGCGGTCCAACGAGGAGAGGGACATGAGTATCTACTTTACTTTAATTTACTTTTTAGTCTTTCTTTTTATGTGCTTTCTGAAATGCACACAGAATTTTTTTTGCTAAAACTATTTTATATTTAAATGTAATTAGTGTGATTTACTCTGAATCAGTGTTTTGATTATATATAATAATAACTTTCAATAACAGCAATATAATAATAATAGTAATAGTAATAATAATAATTATTATTATAATAACAATAATAATAAAAATAATAATACTAATAATTATAATAATAATAATAATAATAGTAAGGAATAGTTCTGAAATGGCGTTTTTAGCTTCTAAAGTCCACTCAGGCCGCGTGCTTCCTGTGAGCTGTCCTGATTTCTTCATTTTATGTAGAACCGGACTCTCCATCTGCTTTATGGGGCAATAAATCACATACAATCTCTGATTATTGGTGTTTTTATTGTCTGTGAGTACAGAGGAGATGTAAAGGGAAGTATGCTCATTATTTATGGGATCCTGATTTATGTGCTAACTTTTAGCTGCTCTCTGGCCTCTGAGCACGCGCGTAGCAGAAATGAAGTAGTAAAACAGAGAGAGCCGCGTGGAGGGAGCAAGGCCCAGAGAAACCCCCCCTTTTCTAAGATTCTTTTTTGTGATCGTAAAAAAAGGCATAAAGTGAGCGAACTGCACTTTTGAAAAGCTAAACGCATAGGATAAACATAAAATAGGTATATAATTTATAAATATAATGAATAATAAAATCACGTACAATTTGAAAGCGTTGCAAAGTTATTTTTAAAATTTAAAATTAAAATTTTAAATCTTTTTTTATATAGGGGAAGGTGTCAAAGATACCTACAAAAGTCAAAACGTCTGTTGTCATCTATATGGTGTACATATAATGTGTCCACTCTTTGGGGATGAGGTGATAAGTGCTGTATCATGTTAAAAGTTAAAGCCTGATCCCACACATCTGGATCCACCATCTCCAGTCAACAGCCTGGAATAAAGTGTCCTTTATCATCATAAGCACAATCTGCATTCAGGGTTCTTATCTGGTGTTCTCAGCTCCAGACACCCTCCACCTCTGCCACACCAACACTGTGGCAGAAGTGTGGGTTGGCTGAGTGGGTTCTTTTGTTCAGGAACATTGTAGGCTGCGTGTGTGACACAAACATCAGAGTTTCCCTCCAGCAGGGCTTCATACAGAGTTTGGACTCGTCTGACTTTAAAGCCCAATGTTATCATTAAATAATCATAAAAAAGCATAACACGCATTTCCTGTATCTTTGAATTGCTGTGAATATTTGGACTCGTTTACCACTGAATTAGCCCAGCCTCCAGTCCCAGCATGGAAGCTGCTGTGTGATGTTACTTTTCTGGTCCTAAACCAGAAGACATTTTCAGAAACTGACTTAAGGGTCACTGGGGTTTTGAGCCATACTAGTTTTTCTTATGAAAAAAAGGAGTGTTCATCTGAATAACATAAAATTTTATTAAAGAATTGTTTGACATACAACTCTCTCAACAATGAAAGAAGAAAAGATCTACAAATGATAAAGAAAAAAAACTTTTTTTTCCTCCAAAAAGACTGAGTTTTCCAGCTAATAGTTTGTCTCTATTTTTGGACTATGCACAGATGTCCCAACACTTGACCTTTCTCTTTAAAAGCCAAGACATTTATGTACAAGGGTCATTTTAGTGACATAAAAGCTACTTATTTTCCTCTAAAAAACAAGAACTAAAAAATGCAGCTTCAGTACAATGAACAAGAGGAAACTCAATGCTTTTTTCCCTTTCAGAACTGGTAAATACTAAAAAAGTACAGTAATTTTTTCCTCAATATAAATACATGAAGGATAAATAATACAAAACAGAAAGTCTTTTTAAACTGGCTATAACAAATAAATATTCATATATGAATGTTCACTTGAACACAGATTGGCGAAAGACGATTTGATTAGAAGGCCTTCCGTCTTCAAAATAAGATTTCATTATTTTTTTATCATATCCATCAAAATGTAAACTCTAAGTGCAACAATGATGCCCAGATATAAAGCATGTGTGTATAACATGGACTTTTAAAAACAACTCAATGGATTTACTTCCTGAATATCGAGGGGTTTGGAGAGGATCAACCACTCACAGCTTATTTCTAAGTACTGAACACTGGAGGAGACAGCGGGGCTCAAACTGAAACGCCCTCACTGACAGTTAAACATAGAAACCCAGTTGCTTTAAAAACATATTGTACACATGTGCTCAGATTTCTGGGATATGCATTTTTGTTCAAATATATATACCCTGTTTCCAAGTTAAAAGTCAAGACATGACGAAAACAAAACAATAGGAAATGTGGACTCTGATGTACCTGCGTCCTCCAAAGTGAAAGTGAAACATGGGAGGGGAAATGTTGGTGTTTGGGGGGGGGGGGGGGGGGGGGGGGTAGGGGGGTTACATCTAACTTAAATAAACAGTTTTATCTGCTCTTTATTTACCCTGTCCCGAGAAATGTGCTAATTGAGAACACTGAAACATCAGGGCTCCCGTCCTCTTACAGTTTGCTTGAGAATGGCTTCAGACTCCACACGTAGAATCCCGCCTCTCTGGACCCGGGACGCTCTCTGGGTCTGTGCGTCTGATACACTGGCTCAGCCCAGGGGGGGGTCAGTGTGAGCCTGTTGAGCTTATGAGCCTATCTTCTTAAACCCTGTTGCATCGATATGATGGATGGAAGTGTAGAGATGACTCCCACTGGTGTGTGTGTGTGTGTGTGTGTGTGTGTGTGTGTGTGTTCTGGGGGGGTGGCGGGTGATGGGTGGGCAGGAGATGGCAGGTTAGTAATGATTGGGTTAAGACAGACAGGTACTACATTAAGCGAGAAGAGACAGTGAAAGGAAGGCCGTCCAGTGGTTTTTATGTGCTTCATGAAACAGAGGGCACAGAGCAAGATCAGTACTGCCAGCTCCAGCATATATTTCTGCTCTCCCTCTAATTCCAGCTGATGGAGAGGCAAAGCCCTTCACATAGCTCAGCTCTGCTGACAAAAACATGTGTCGCCTGCAGGGGGAGAGAAGTCGGCGTAATAAATCTAACAACCTCGTTAACTGCCCATTAAAATCTTAAGCATTTCATTTATCAGGCAGGCTGTGAATCTATGTGCATCTTATGGGGAGATCTAGCTATGAAAGAACTATCTGAAAGCCCGGAGTGTCTGTGAGGGCTCATTTTGGGCGTTATTTCTGACGGAGTAGCTGTACTGGTGTTGCGGCTGTGTGCCATCGATGCTAAGCTGTTCCAAAAAAAGTCACCTGATGCATTAAAAATCCATGTGGAATTGGCTAGCATTATCTGGTAGTACCACTATCCGACGAGCATCTAACACAGACATTTATCTTTCATTTTTTCCCTTTGTGTTTAGACGAAAACCCAGTTCCTGATCATGGTCTAACTGGCTGCAGATTTAGTCCCACTGAGCAGCTTTGTCCTCCTAAACCAAACAACACCACTTGAACTGAAACACCTTTGTCACTACCTTTTGGATTTTAGACAACACTATCACTTGTGAGGATTATAAAACCATCATGGGTGGAGCTAAATATGTACAAAGCGACCATTACAGCCATCAGCAGGCCTGGTAAAGCCCAGCCGCCCCACCTACAGGGCTGCTCCTTTCTTTAGGTTAGTGGCTCTACCACCAAATTCCACATGGGAAAGTTTGGGGAGGGGGGGGGGCATGTTTCCATAACTACAAACATGCTTTTCTGTCCAGGGACCACGAAATATTCAAAAGATTGGACACTAATTAAAACAGTTTATGTACAACTCGAAAACATCCAGAAAACCACCGATAGTTCAAAATGAAAGATAAATGTCAGATAATATACTAGAAATTGAAGCGATATCAAAAGTGAACCCGGATGTTATAGAATAAAAAAATAATCCAAAATAAAGAGATTTGAAATTTGTGGGTTATTTTTCACGTTTTCTGTGAGAACGTAATGTTTCCACAGTTCATTCTGACACGGTCCTGCCAAACAGCACTGGGGACGTTTTCTTGGCTTTTTTAGCCTCCGCAAAGAAAACGACCAGCATCTGGGAGCGAGCAGTGGGATTTTTCAGCCCCACACACCGCTCTGAGGGCAGTGGGAACCCTAAACACTGACTCTGCTCTCCTCTGACAAACCACTGGATGGCTCATGTCTGTCTGGGGTGGACGCACGTGAGCGGTGGAGTCCCGCTTTCCAGTTAGTCTGTTAGTGAGTCGTGTGGTGTTACTTGTTTGTGTCGTCTTCACGGCTTCAGCCGCGCCGCTCTGCTCCAGACCTGCTCCAGACCTGATCCAGACCTGATCCAGACCTGCTCCAGACCTGCTCCAGACCTGCTCCAGGCCTGCTCCAGGCCTGCTCCAGACCTGCTCCAGACCTGCTCCAGACCTGCTCCAGGCCTGCTACAGATGAGTGAGCTTGGGTGCTTCTTGGATTCTGCCCTGAGTCGAGGTGTGGTGTGCTGACAGCTCGGTGTAGGTGGGGTGTGGGGGGGGTTCGCAGGGGACCTGGGAGCCCCCTCCACCGACGTGGTGCTGGCTGGAGGCCGACATGGGCCCCGCCCCGTTGTAGTCCATGGTCTGGTGGAGGGGGGGCGCGGGGCCCAGGTGGTTGAGCCCGTACATGGAGGGCCCGGAGCCGGACATGGGCTCCACATAGCTGCCGCTGCCCACGTAGACCGGGCTGCTCTGCATGGTGGTGGAAGTGCCATAACCTGCATTGTTGGCCTGCACCAGGCCGTGGTGAGGGTGGGGGTCGCCGTACTCTGGGTCCGGGGCACCGTATTTCTGGGGGGGGCAGCCTTTCATGGAAACGTTGGAATAGGCCGTGCTCATCGAGTAAGACACTCCTTGGTGGATCTTTCCAAAGGACGGAGGAGAGGGGGTGTCATAGGCTGGGCCCCCTCCTCCCCCCGCCCCTCCCATGGGGTGCATGGAGTTCAGGAAGCTGGCAGAGGACTGCATGGGCAGGGGCGGGGAGCCCGTCGGGGACGGCCCCCCAGAGCTGGAGCTCAGGCCCTTGGACTTCTGGTCTTTCTTGTACTTCATGCGCCTGTTCTGGAACCAGATCTTGATCTGGCGCTCGGACAGGTTGAGCAGGTTGGCCATCTCCACGCGGCGGGGCCGGCACAGGTAGCGGTTGAAGTGGAACTCCTTCTCCAGCTCCACCAGCTGCGCGCTGGTGTAGGCGGTGCGCGCACGCTTGGACGAGGCAGTGGACCCTCCGGTCGGACTCTTCTCCCCGCTGCTGCCACTCTCAGCTCCCCCCGAGGCTGAGGAGGCCAAAACAAGCAGAGGGGGGGGGGGGGGTGAAGGAAACACGGAAAGTTACACCTCAGAAAATGACATAAAGAGACACAGTAAGAAAAATAAAAAGCACTAACCCTGTCACCTTTGCACTCTGCACCCAGTACAATACTTCACTCATATCATATAGGAAATGTTCTAATACTAACTCTATTGATATTATATATCATATGTATTTATAAAATAGATACCATACTACTATCATTGTATATCATGATATTATATACTATATATGCTGTTCTATTATTATCACCATAACTGTTTGGTTACAGTAACATTACCATCATATCCCCAGTACATCCATCCATCCATCATCTATCTATCTATCTATCTATCTATCTATCTATCTATCTATCTATCTATCTATCTATCTATCTCATGAGAGCAAAAGAGGGGAAAGTTGTGAATGTCAAAGTAATTTACGACACTACAGTTGATGGATAGATGAAAATTAATTATGAGACAGAGAAGTAAAGGAGGTATCACACTACTTGGCTGCATGCTAGAAGAAACCGAAGGCATTCACGTTGTTAATAAAGCGGTGGGAGGTGTGGGAAGGCCGCCCGACTTATCCTTTGATATTAGCTGTCAGCACTTCATAAGAGAAGCAGTTATTAAGAGACGGCCCTGACCAGCAACGTCCAAATTGCATCTTGGCTGGAAAGACAAAGCCCCCACAGCAACAGCAGCAGACGCACAAGAAACCGCGTTAACTCCAGTCCGCCAGGCTCGTTTAAGTCAGGGCCAGTGGCGTCCAGCTGGACTGGACAGGGCTCAGAGACAGCCCACCAGCCGTCCAGGGCACAGGCTCTCCAGGGAGGGGACCATGAAACACTTCTGTTTCATGTTAATGTGACCTTCTCGGAGTGTTTGTGTGTTAAAGCTGCTCATTTTAATCTGTACCAATGGATGAGCCAAAATGTCTCAAGCCTCATCTTCACCAATAACAGCAATAACGCACAAAGAAAAGAAAATGTGTAAAACGGGTGTACTACTCACTACTGTCAGACTCCAGTTTCAGGATTTAACATAGTCATATCTTTTATTTTCAATTACTTCTGTTTCTCTTCTCCAGTAACAGCATGTTACTAGCTCACCCTCACAACAGCATTAGTAATACTTATGCATGTCCAAAGGGGCAGTTTCCCACAAAAAAGCTAAAAAAAAGTCCCAAAAGCATGATTGGCTGGAGGTACAAAGGAAAGCCTCAGAAGAGCAGACTCACACTCAGAGCTGAGCATCAATGCTCAAAGAAAGAACTGCTTCAGTATTTTCATTTCTACTCTGACTCCTATGTTTATTCACAGCAAATAAGTAAGTGAGGAGATGAGTGTTATCTGAATAGTTCCCTTTCAATCTTCTCCAACAAACACTTTCTTTCCTATCAGCTCTAGTGACAACATTTCCTCATCCTAGCACAGGTGGTCCTCTCTCACTGATCAATACGTTCTGATACTTTTCTTCTGTCTGACTTCTTGTTACTTTTGAATAAGAACTAAAGAACTAAACTAAGTCATTTTCTGTCATGTTGCCTTCTATCCATTTCAAGTGTCTTCCTGCTGTTCTGTATTTCTTAGCAGCTAACAGTTAAAGTCATCCAATACCTTCCTATTTGCAGCGCCTTTGCTGGGAGGTATGAATAGAGGGAGAAAAACAGGATGTTTTACTGCAGAGGATGGATGTTTATCAGAGTGTGGAGAGGAGGGGGGTGCATCAGGTGGGACAGATGATGAAAGAACATGAATGAAGGAAGTCACACAGGCTGCTGATTGGTTAAAGTTGGAGCTGTGTCTGAGCAGCTGCCATTCAAAGTTCAAACCAATTAAAAGTGTTTACTGAGTAATAAACTCAATATGAAATATTATTCTATCATTGTCTTCTAATTATGTAATAAATGTGTTTTATCAGATGCCAAACAACATAGGTTTATACCGAACGATGATTTCTTAGCAGACTAAAGTCAATTTGACTGGTTTTATTCATGTTGAATGATGTATCTATGTCAAGGCACACCCTGCATCTAGCTGTCCTCATAAAAAACACAAATACATACACAATCCTCAAACCTTACCTATGACTCTGTATTCTATTCTGATGGGCTGGGATTTTTCATTCTTTTTATTTACTGTATGAGTGTCTTGGTCAAATGCATTACCAATTACTTTCTTTAAGGTGTCTAGAAATCTTATTTAAGTAAAAAACTATCTGTGAAATTAATCCTGAATGAATTTCAAAGTGTAGGAAGCGTGCTGACTGGCTTGTTTAAGCAGATTTTTTTTAACATGGACTTTTGTAATATAGACTCTGCCAGTAACACAGGACAAGTACTTTAGTCACTTTACGGTGGAAATGAAGACTTCTTGGCTTTGGTAAGAAGTCCATTGTTTATGTGACTTTCAATTTCATGGATGCCATTTTACAGTTTCCATGGTTACATGTAAGTGTCATGTAACACCCGAGATACAGAAAACAAAGTGCTTGAGTGGAGATTATTGGTGGCCAAGGCAAAAAACCTGTGTTTTTTTGTTCTTTTTTAACCAAATAATTGAATTTCTAACCTTACCAACAACTGAATGTCTGTCTATCTATCTATGATAAGAGATGTGTAATATTCTATGTTTGTGTGAAATTGTGTTCTATATTAATCTGAGAAGCAGGCAAGACAAAATTTATACTTTAAGAACCTGATCCTGAAAAGAAGGAGTTTATAACAGAGGGTCACAAAGGAATGAGATGAGAATGAGGAGAAAGCAAAATAATTGAAAGCAACGACCAGGAAGGATGGAGATGATGATGATGATTCCCATCCAGAACAAATTTCCAGATTTTTCTCCATTAATTGTGCCTCTAAAATGGATTAACGTATTCAATGTAGGAAGGAAGGAAGGAGAGGAGGCAGAGAGGGATAAGTTGTTGCTAGGGTAATTAGTGGGGGATCGGAGGCGGACAGAGACCCATGGTGGACTCTGCTGGAACACACCAGTGCTGCCGGGGTTGGTGCTGGGGGAGCAGGTTTTCTGCTTGGTGGCCTGCCGACACTCCTTCATCCAGGGGAAGATCTGCTTGGCCAGCGCAGGGTTGGGCGGCAGGGAGGAGGAGGAGGAGGAGGAGGAGGAAGAGGAGGAGGTGGTGGAGGCCTTACTGGGGTCTGCTTTGGGGGCTGCAGAGGGCCTGCTGCTGCCTCCCGGCTGCTGGGCGGCGGTACTGCCGGTGCTGGGGGCTGGGGGCAGCGGGGGGGACACCTGGGGGGCCGGGTGGTGCTCGGGGGGCAGGCCGGGCTGCATGCAGCTGCCGTTGGGCTCCTTGCTCTTGGCCAGATGCTGCTGGTGGCCGGCGCCCAGCGCCTGCAGGGAGCAGGCCGAGCGCTGGTAGGACTCCACATCCAGGTGGGGGGCCGACTGGAAGGCAGGCTGGTGGTGGGACACGGGGAGCGGGGCGCCATAGCCCCCGAAGCCGTTGGCGCCGCCGGCCGCCGCCGCCGCCGCGGCCCCCTGCACCTGGTAGGACGAGTAGCCACCGAAAAGCGTGGAAGAGTTGTCGTAGTAGGTTGTCTTCTGCATTTCTGAGGGAGGTGGCCGTGTCTGGTTTTGCTCCTGTCCTTACTAAGAACCACTGCCGGAAGACCATTTGGGACCAGGGGTCACGTGACGATGCCTCTCCAACAGTCCCCTGCAATTTGACCTAAGAGGTTAAGAAAGACAGAATAAATAAATGAAAGACTTTAAATCCATCTTCCTCCAGTGAAAGGCGCCATGACATGAATAGAAACCACTGCTTTTCTCTCCTCATCACTTTACCCTCCCCCACTCCTTCTGAGACCAGCACACAGCCAGCAGATGCTCTAGTGGAGGGGGCATAAGGAGGGCAAACTGCGTACCCCTGTACACGCACACACACACGCACACACCCTTTTAAAATAAGGTTGTCACCTTAGCATTAGCCTAACCAGATTTATTTTGCACAGCTCTGCAGGATTAAACTGTATCGTTTTGGTCCAGTGGTTTGTTTTCATTTGGTTTCTCACTAATTTTTTGCAATTTTAAAAAATACATCCAAAATTAAAGGGGCTTCACTTCTACATTCAGAATGTAATGGAAAAACTCCTATTTTAAATTGTGAGCATGTGGCTTTTTTTTGCAGGTACTGGCTGGTGTTTTCTTTAGATAAGGCCGCTCCTCCTGGGTCTGCTCTTTTCGGTCTCTAATGGACGCGCGTCTAATCTTCAGTGAGTGAGAGGCAAGCAGCTGCTGTCAGCCTCTGCCCCTCCACATGTGATTTACTGTATCCCGTCAGCTCAACTGTGACCTCTCTCCTCCTCTCTGAATTTATCGGCTCCCTTATTTTACCGCTCAGAAGAAATGATGGAATAAATGAGCGAAAAGAAAAAAAAAGGATATCTTTCTGGGCCATCAAAATAACAAGGATAACGAAGGCATCGCTTCTCCTCTTCGCGTTTGTGGTTCCGGATGATTATATAAGCCGGAGATGGTTTTACCCCGGCTATCTGGAGCAGGATTCGCCCGCTGTGGACCGGGGTGCTCCGGGTGGGAGCTGGGGGTCTGGAGGTGCCGGCCGGAGGGCTGGACACTGCCGGCCAGAGGCCCGCGGCGGCCACAGGCCGGTTCGTCCGGCTCACAGAGCAGCTGCTATTCGTTTCCGAGCAGGAAAAACATTCCTCAGACAAAAGCAGAGCTCTCTGACGTCACACACAAATGGAGCTTTTTACAGTTAGAGAAATGGAGGCTAACCCTGATAATGTCCACAGCCGTACACGGGAACTACAAAAAAAAAAATTAAAATAAAAAAAGGTGAAGAAAAAAAAGCCAATAATCAACAGCCACTTTTGTGGTTTTATTTCTATTCGGGCTGTCAGCAAAGACAATCCGCATCGGGCTTGGCTTTCCATAATGAGAATTAATCAATAAATAAATAAAGGGTATCATATTGTGGTGGAAAATATCATAGCTACGTCCACAAAGCCGTATTAACACCACTCATTGTTTTAGGGTTGTAGTGGATTTCTTTAGGCCTATTTCTACCTTCAGACTCAGTCCTGCAAATGACGCCTAACGAAGAGTCTGAGATTTAAAATGTTAGAAATAAATTCTGTGCCATAATAATAACGACAATAACGGATCAATCTGACTTGTCCCAGAAAAAACACAAAAAAAATCGTTTCTACTTCGGAATGGTTTTCTGGACCTAATTGTAGAATTGTTAGACTAGAATCCCCCTCTAAAGCCTTTCAGATCTGGAGCTATCGGGCTTTTCGTTTGTCCCTCGACAGTGCAGCCCAGCTCCAGTTCTCAGCACGTCACAGATGTCAGCCATTTATCTTTCTAGTAGACAAGCTGGAATCCTAATTATTTACTCTGAGGAATAGTCCCAAGGAGAGCCAGGGAGAGGGAGAGAGGCCGTGGCCGAGTGTGGGAGGAATATGTTATTAAATCATAACGCTGGTTCGCCATTAAACGCGACACGCAGCGGCTCTGCCCTTGGCATGTAAGGCTGCAGCTTAATAAAATCACCAACTTTACTAGACGCCTCCCGGAATAATCGACTTATATGCTTCTGACTGAGAAACAGTCAAGCAAAGCAAACAACACCCCCCCCCCCCCCCCCCCCC